AAGCTTTGCCAGGCCAGTGGCACCATGGAGGGCAGGGCAAATGAAGAAAAACCCAGAGGCAGCTTAGGCACTTCCCCTGCAGCAGCACCAGAACACAGGGCACTAGTCCTCAATTTTTTTCTGAGTTCTGGGGCTAATCGAGCTGAAAAGGTGAAAAGCAGCTTGGCAAGGGACATGGAAAAGTCAGGTTTCTTGCACTTAAATGTGATGGCTCCATTCCTGTGGTGCTCTTGCATTTGTGCTCTGGTTTAAAGAAGTGAAAGTCATTCGTGGAGGATGAACAGCTAATCCTCAACTCTGCTTTAAGTCAGATGTGTAGTTCCTAAAGGGTGGAAGCAACACAAACACGTCTGTTGTAAATTCCTAGACTTACATTGTTGGGTAGGGTCAGTCAAGCAAATTTAAGTCTTTTACCTCTCCTGAATCAAGCAGTAACATTTCCACCAGTCGTCAAAATAAACTTATAAAAACTTAGGCATTACACCTCAATGACTGTAAAACCCTCCTTATGAACAAGATCTTTAATACAAGGTCTTGGGAATCCGCACATTTGAAACAATCAGCAGAAGATAAATCCCAAGGCAATCTGGACTTCCTGCAACACAGGTTGAATGAAAACAACCCATTTCAATGAGGAAAAAAAATAGTTATTGCCTGAACAGTCAATTCTAATTTGTTTTTAATAGTAATTTTTCATCAAATAGCCATCAAAAACTACAACTCCAAGCTGCATACTATGGATAATGGATTTACCCTTTCAGTTAATTTAACCAAAACAAATGTTTAAACTTTCCAGTAAATGCACACAAAACATGATGAAGATTCGATTGCTGCAGTGTTACTAGGGCTGTGAGAGAAACTTTGGGTTTAAGTGAGTAATTCCTATGCAGTATCAAATTTTCGACAAAATGACAGCATTTCTCCATCAGTTTTCTACAGTCTATCATTAAAAAAGCTAGCACACTAGATGAAGAACAGCCCACAGGATCACTTTTTTTGACTTGTGGCCACTACTCTATATACAAAGCTTAAATTTTCTTGGAATATGTATCTTTGGGTCTACTTATTAGGTGATTAAACCTGACACATAGCTTAATGCCAGGCCATAGAACTTCAACCAGTTGCTCCTGAAATTTCTTTCAGTAATTTCACTGTATCTGTATAATTTAATGTCAAAGGCTTTAGTTCTAAAAATAAAACCAAAAGTACTGAATCATCATTGGAAGTGAAGTATCACCTTGAGAATACTAGACACCAGTATGAAAAAAATGTATATGTTTTTTGCAAGGCACTGGAAGAATTAAAAAAATAAAGATATTTTCCATTTTATAAAACATACAAAAAAGGATAATCTTGAAGTATAGGACTTTCAATATGTTAATGTGTAATATTTTAATGGAAATTGGTTAAGACACCTTAAAACACTAGGTTTATGACCAATGCCAAGGTAAAAGGCACCAAGGCGTAGGTGCACCAGCAAAGTTCACACAAAATGTTTTGCTTACTTATCAGTAAAACCCAGTAGAAATGTTTTGATATGAATAGCAATTGTGGCCCAAGCCTAGCCAGAGTTACACAAATGGTCCAGCGGGCCATGTATATTATGGGTATCAGATGTACCAGTAGTTCCCTAAGGAAAGGCAGAAACACTCAGTAATTTGACTAGATACAATGTCCAACAGCAGAGAATGTCAAAGCATTTCTACCTCACCTAATATAAAACCAAATTATTAAATTTTATAAGAGTCTTCCAAAAACGGCACAGATTAGTAGTTGTCTACCGACCACAACTTGGTACGACTGACCTGCTAGCCAGCACACAGTTCTCCCATGGAGCACTGGTATGGAATCACTTCCACATTTCATCAAACAAGCTTGTCATGCCAACCACAACTTGGGATGACTTCAATCCCAGACATCACTTGCGAGAGTTTGCCAAAGGAGGTCAAGGGATTTGATTGCAGAGAGTGCAAACATGGTTTGCTTCCTAAAGGACCTTGGAAATGAGGTCTACTTCTAATTACTCCAGCGAAGATGATGAGAAAAGTAATGCTTCCCACCAACAATGTTTCAGATGGTGGGAAACAGGTCAGTAAGCCAAAGGAAAGCTGTCACACTGAAGAAGGTAGCCCTACCATTTGCCCAAAGGCTGTACAAAGGATTTTTCAAAAGCCACACTGACAAATCGCAGCAGGCACATACAGAGAGAGGTGCCATAAGATGCCAATGCCTGTTGGAACAAACTTGGGGAAATACAAACCCGATGCACCTTTTCTTATGTTTTGCTTTACCTGTCTTGTTCACCAGCTTCTCCATGTCTGTCCACCTCACTAACAAAGACCCTGTCCCTTGAAGAAACAAACTTGCAAACAGAAAATGTTTTTTGCCTCATCCACAGAGGTTGGCAACATAACTGATTGTTTCATTTTCCATCTAGAAAAAAAGTCTCTCCAATGTTTCTACTCCAGTAACAAAAAAAAAGAAAAAAAAAAGAAAAAAAAAAATAAGAGTGGGTAGTCATGACATTGAGGATACACAGCCAGCCCCCACAGTCACACTGCCAATCCATTAGTAGATTTCAAGGTCTTGATCTTTGAATTCCAAATCACTGGCCTACATAGAGATCAGCTCCCTCTCTTCAGGGATGACATCCAGAACAAAAAGAATCCCACAAACAAGTGACTCCATTAAGATGTTTGTTTTTTAAAAAAAGAAAAACTAACTTACCTTCATTTTTTTATAAGAGGATTTTTCATTTGTATTTTGGAAGAACCATGACACATATCAGCAGAAATAGCTGGCATTCATACTTAAGCTAACAATTGCAAATAGATTACACAACATTTTTTTGATCAAGACACCAGATCAAGATCCAGAAGGAAAAATGGAAGTATAACAAATGGCACCAGATTTCAAACACCAGATTCAAACAATATTGTATGGCATGAGTTATAAATAAGACAGCCAAGAAACAGAAGTAATCCTACAGTCAATAACACAGGCAGTTCACAAAACAGATTAAATTACTTAATAATTAACATTTCAGGTCAACTTGCAGTTATGTCCTTCCCAAATTATTGCTCACTATATTTAAAAAATTTATTTTATGATTTTTCAGACATGGCTAAAAAATCCATTATAAGATGAAACTTGTAAAAAATGAACAATTTAGAAAGAAAGAGACCACATGTGAGTCCAAAAGCATTAACGATTTTGGCATCTTAAATAAACTTTGCTCTTGCACGATTAAAGAATGTGTCCGATTTTTAAAATTTAGAAGTATCTCTTCGGTGTTTTTCAAAACCAGCATTTGTGCAGTGGCCACTAAGCACCCCCTGCCCAGAGGACAACTGTGCCCCACAAGTCAACTGCGCCAACAAGCCAACATTCCGAACACAAGACAGCCAAGAAGAGTCATGCACAATGGTCATTTTTAGCCTCAGTCCAATGCCCAGCAAACAGAATTTTTCTAGTCATTTCTTTGCACCCATCAAAACTGATACCTCAATGTCCATCAAACACAGCAACAATGAGCAAGTACTGGCCGCAGCACAGTCTACAGGCCCAACTCCACAAACCCAACAGAACTTTTTCCAAAGTCAAAGCAAGTTTTTGGCAACCCCTTGAGATGCAGAGTGGTTCCTAAATCTCTCTCCTACTTCCAGGGATGATCCCTTCAAGATTGACTTAAGCCACATTGTGAGGATGGGGAAACTTGCCAAAGCAATTAACCATGATTTATCTGTCTTTGGAATACAGGCCTTCGGTCTTCCTTCTAGTCTATCATTTCAGCACCTCTGCTTGACAGTCAACTTGCTTAAAATACAAGCCCACCCGGGACACCTTCCACTGACTTCTACAGGGTATGTTCATCCATAGCATCACAGATGTAACTCCATTGAGAGATACATGTGCACCAGCTGTACAGTAAGACATCTTCTGTCAAGTGTCCTGAAGGCTATCTGCCTCCTTTTAACCTTAAGAGTTCCAGGCTCTGGATATATATATATTTTTAATAGATCACTGTCTAGATGCATATTAACTATCAGATAAGAACATTTTTGGTTTTGGGAGGCCACTTCTCTACCCAAAAGGCAAGAACAGCTCCAAAACAACAATGGCTTTTCACTCCCAGAGATGACTTCTTGTAAAAATAAAAACAAGGAAGTTCAATCCAAGAGAACCATGATGCTTTTCAGTTAAGGGCAAGGATGTGAAATTGCCACACATATGATAGGAAATTCAAAGTTCGGCTGTCACCTTGTTCCCTTCCTCTCCCGTCAGCACACGCTTTGACCACCTCCCGAGTGACGAGTGAAGGATGGCGTGTCAGAGCCTTAACTTTCAATCTTTCTGGCTTCTCTCGCAACCTCAACCCTATCGTTGGAGCACGAAGAGCCGAGGAGTTTAAATTTTAATATTTTGCACCGCCGCAGCCTGCTGCACGGCCAAGGCACACGATGGTGGCACAGGACTTTGGCATGGACACAAATCCAAGAAGAAAACCCCTCTGCCCCCCCCCGCCCCCCCCCCCCCGGCCGGCAAGAGGACATAACTCGGCTTTGCTCCA